CTTCTAGACGGATCTAATCCACGTATCGATTTACACACGTGATATCGAGGGTCTTTCGACGATACGAAAGTGGCAAGGGGATGCGAGAATCGCATTTCCAAGTTCGGTTCGTGCAAACCAGACGGAAAATTTTAATTTCTGTCTCGAGGCTACTCCGCCCGGTACCCGTTGCCACGTCGCTTTCACACCACTCGTGTCTCTCTCCCTTTCGAATTTCACTCCTTTCCCACGTCTGTTCGCCACGCGTTAGCCAACCATTCTTCGAATTTCAGTAAACGCGCTTTCTTCGAAGCTATTAGACGTTTTCGTCGCAGCTTTTCTCGTTACGGTCGTTCTTGCTGAAATCGGAATAACGATTGGTCGTTTTTACGCGATTGCCCGTAATTCTCCGTTCTGTTCGAAGCTTCCAAAGTCGTTCGATCTACGATTCTAATTTACGTAAGTTATGGAATACTTTCACGATTTTGCGACTCGCTGAGAAACGTGGTAAAATTCCTGGTCGTTCGTTCTTACCTGTTAATTCGTTGTGACGTTGCAACTCGAGCAGCTCCGGTCGCATCGTAACTCGCCACTGTAGTCGTGCGTCTCCGTGGTCGTTGTTTAGTCACGTATACGTTCTCCGTGTTGCATCGTTTCGCCGGACTCTCTCTCCGCTTCTTTTCTTTCTCGTTCTTCCTCCGGCCGGATCGCCGATCCCGCGCCTCGTTTCCATCCATCCGCTGCTACACGCTACGTAGCGTTAAATTTCGACTGCCTCGTGTTCCACCGCAAAAAGCGATCGGTAACGGTTACACGTGTCTTAAATTACATAAACAGTTACGTTAGCGAAATTGTTGCACGCACGATACGTAAGTGCGACGACGTTTGTACGCCGCGCTGTGATAAAAACGCCTTCGCGTCGAAATCCGTCGGTATAACGAGCGAAAGGTATTTCTTTTTGATATCATCCGTTAAAACATCGTCTACTATCGAACTGATCCTCTTTTGCCTTTCATACCCGTCTCGTACGACGTCTATCGATAGAATTTTTTAGAACGCGAATGAGCAAACAATCCGGTAAGTATAAATATCCGCTAAAAGAGAATAGTCGCGATAGTACGAAAGAGAAAAGAAAAATGGATAATGTCTATTGTCGATCTAGTAATTTCACGGGTATGTCGCGTTTTTCTTCCTTTTTATCGTGATTATTGAAAGTAAATCGTCCGATCAAGTTCGTCGAATCTTATTCATCGATTCTGTACTGTGTGGTCTACGAGCCTGGCTCGGTATCGGTGTAACGGAGCAAGAATAAAATAACAGCAGACACATCGATATCCAAGAAATAAAAGGAGACGTAACAAACAAAAATATATAGGCATGTAACTTCGACGATCTTATAAAAAGCGTTCTATCTTCCCATTGATTGCACGACGGTCCATCCTTTTCTTCGTTATCCGTCCTCCGCTTCCAACGTACTCCGATGCCGCCGCCCTTCGTCTTTCGTAGACTTTTCTATTACTTGGAACGCTTCTACGCTCACCCGTCCTCTTGTATCTTTCTTTCGTCTCGTTCTCTCTCGAATTCCTCGAGCTTTCATCGAACTCTGCCGCGCTTCGTCTCTATTTCGTCGTTTTACTACTCCCTTCCTGTTCGCTTGCTTCGACGCGAAGAATCGTTCGTTTTAAATTCATGTCCACCCTGTCGTTTGTACGGTCCGAGCACGAACAGTCGCGATACGATCTTGTTTTTCGTTGGAAAAAGGGACAGGGAAATCCTTGGTATGGTCCAAAATAGGTACTTTAGGAATACTCTTTGAAGATGTTAGATCTTTCTTGCTGTAGCACGCGTGCACTTTTCCTTTATTCTCCGAAGATGACTTCAAATTCCTTCGAACTATCCACTATTTTGGATAATTTTATCACGGCCAGCTGAATTTTGCGCTTCGTTTTATACTTTTCCATCGATCAGGATCACTCGCCTCGAACCGGAAAAGACGTTCGAAAGATATTTCTCTCCGTCCTCGTGTCGGACACTGACCCGATGGATCAGCGATTGATCGATACACGTACGAGTATTTCGAAATCGATGTTTCTCGAAAGACGAACGAGTTTGGACGCAAAGTCGAACGAAAAAGTATCGCTTGGAATGGAACAACAAAGTGGTTGCCGTTCTTATTCAGATGCCGTCGTCCCGATGCAAATGTTAGATGCAAATGGCTATGGGAAGGGAAGGGGGACGGAAGAGGTTCGCTCACGGGTACGGATCACGCTCCGTTATTTCCTGGCAGACACGAGTCGATTCGACGACCCTGTGCACAGTGCACGGTGCACGCGCGTTCCTCTTAATCCACGAAACCGAACCACCGTGGTGAGCTGTTTTTAAACTGGCACGGCGACGCAACGCGTTCCTTGGTTCTGATGGCGGGGCGCGACGATTAGATATCGACGGATATACGTACATACGCCTCGAGTTGAGGGGTGTGTTGCACGTTCTTTCGGCGATCGGTCGCTCTCGCCGCACTTCGTTTCGTTTTTTACGATCTTTGTCGGAAAGATTCTTCGAACTTCAACGGAAAATCTACCGATATTTTTAGAACAGCGGTATCCAAAAACGATAAATCGTCGCATCGATCCGATACATTTTCTCGTGAAAGGGGATGCGCTATAGACAGTCTAAACGTATAGTCTACCGTCTCCGCGAGAAGATAAAAAGCACTGTTTTCAATGATTAACGCGCGATTAATCAACGAATCGATCAATCGATAGGTTTAATAGCGAAACTAATGGAACAGTTATTTCCCTTCGAGAGCAGCTTACGAAATCTTACCACTTCGGATAGCTAAGCATTTTTCCCTCTCCGGTGTAATATATCGAACTGAAGAAAAAACATATAAAACAAATACGTGTCTATATAATTTACATTTAAAAATAAGTTGGGATAATTCTCAGTGTCACGAGATAATCGTACGTATTAGCGACTGATCTACGCGTCGTATATTTTTAGCGCGTTTCTTATATTTTGAAATCGGATCGAATTTTAGCGGGATAATATTTCTACGAACGTTATAGCTGTAATTTCGTTTATCGTTCTCTATTTATTAGCATCCGAGTCTGTTGGTAATCAGGCCGGAAAACGAAGAACCATACGTACACGTAGTTCTGGAGTATATTTGCGTGACGTGCCTCTTAAAAAGCCCTTCTGTCGGAGGTCTGCGTAATTTTTTCGTTACCATTAACTCGAGAAGGAATCTAGACTCGATTTACGGTTGCCTTTCAGGCAGAAATTCAAGGTATTTCGGTATCCTGTATCGCTTGTGCCGGAAATAAAGGAGTATTCTTAGCGGCGCAGTCGTGAATATGTACCGCAGCTTCCGGTACACACGTTCGGTTCATTTGTTTCTTTTAATAACGAGATTTCAACGTGGAAAGAATCACAAAACGCGAATAGCCACAAATGACTCGAGCCACGTCGCATACGAATTAGTCGAAACCTTAACACGAACGTTCCTTCGATCGTAAATATCCACTGGCTTTTGTTTTCTTTAACTCGATACACCACGCGCGCACGTTTTCACAGAAAATTCGTTATTTTCCACCGTTTATGAGAAAGAGAATGAGACGTGTTTTCGGTATGCTGGGAAATGGCAGTAGTCGTGCGTTTAAGGGCTAATATTTATTTGTCTCGTCTTATCGTTGGAATTTTGTCCGATGGACGATATCGAGTACGTTTGTCGATAAATTCAGTCGGTTCTTTAGCGAAATCGATTGTCCTCTTACCTGTTCGTTCGTAGACGTGGCTTCAGTTCTTCGCAGGTTTCTTTCTGTCAGTTTTCGTCTTTTCGCACTTTTCTCTCGGTCTTTTTTGTTCCGCCTCGAGAATCGCGAACCATTGCTCCTTTGATCCACAAAATGAAATAGGTGGTATGGTATCCAAGTGTTCGTAGTACGTATCCCACTTGTTCACGAAATACTCCGCCATGTCGCACTTGGGCCAGGGTTTCGCTTTACACGAAGGACCTTTCACAGATAATTAGCTTTCGACGGCGTTGGAATATAAGATTTACGAAATTAGCGTGTATTTCAGAATTCTATAAAATACGCGATAGGTAATATACCGGCACGCGTAGAAAGGAGTTGCTTGGTTGATCGGTTTAAGGAAACTGGATTCGTTTAAGAATGTACGTATATACGAAGGAATCGCGGCTGAACATTATCACGATGAAATTCATCTTTTGTATCGTCTGAATCATCCGGTGCCCGCTTGTCTAACTTCGGTCCCCGTTAAAAAAACCGCAATTTAAAATAACGCGCCTCGTAATGGATTTACAATTTGTAATTTATAATTCGAACGATTTTATAATGGTTTTATAATTTTTCACTCGCCGCGAAATCACGATAACTATCGCTCCGAGTTTGCTCCCTGTTGCACCAGGTGAAAAGTCGTATTTTCAACTAGAAATACGCGCCATATAAAAGTTTCTTCGTCGTTATACAAATTAATTTCGGTTAAAAGTTTCGTTTCTTTCTTTTTTTCCTTTTGAGAAAATAAGTATATTTGCTTATCGTAAATTATTTACCACCGCAGGGAGTACGCGGACAATCGTGTTGTAACCCGTTTCGATGGTAGCAATCGCAATCTATGTAAACTACTCCTGCATACAGTTCCCGAGATTTAATTTTTTTCAAACGGATCTTCGTCGGTTTTTCCAACAATTTCTTCGACTTCGAATCTCCATTTTTTGACCGTGGGTTTGCGCGTTGAACTTGCCGAGACTTTTCAACGTTCTCTGCCTAGAAAACATCTCGTACTTAGTCCTTTGTCGCATTAAAATCCGCTGTTCGTTATGATTTCTCGTTCGAATGTTACGAGTTTACGATTAAACGAGTAGACTCGCTTAACCAAATGTTCGTTTAATTGGCTATTGCGTAAAAGTTTGAAAATGGGATTCTGGTAATTTCTCAGCCATAAATTCAAATTAGCAGTTCGACGTCGGTATGCTGCCGCGTGCGTGTAGTCTCACCTGCCGCACAATTTTGCAAGGTAAATATGTAAATGGAAAACGCGGCAACGCTTGGAAAAACAAAAAACGTCGTTTCACGTCTGCCGTCGGCAACGCTTGAAAAACGCAAGACGTCGATTCACGCCACCCGACGTCCTCGGCTGTGTTATGTATGGATAATGAATTTCGTAATACTCGTTCGAACGTCGCGAATATCGTAAGGTACGGAATAAACGATTTTATTTTCAACCTTGCTGTAACGAATAAGACGAATAATATCTCGTATATTCGACGCTAAGTATTTCCGAACCTCTTAAATCCATCCAAATTCTCGACATTCCTTGAAAATCTATTAGGTCGGCTATCTACGTTACAGTATCTACGCTATAGAGAACGTCCATCTTAATAAGTATGCATTACGCAATTTTTCATTAGAAACAATTTTATTAAACGAGTTGCACCGTAAATTACAATTTCACTTGCAAAGCGACTACGTTTTTTCAACGGTTACTGACACTTGTATATCGCACGGACTCGACCAGGACGTGCCCGAACATGTTTTAGGGAAAAATAAAGAAAAGGAATACGAGTCGACCCTGGTTATTCCCTTAAGTTCATCGAAGGCCGACGAAATAAAACCAACCTGTGTGGTTTCGTTGGTTCGTGGTTAGTTGGGACATGCATCGGTTCGTTGCAAACATTGCATTTCTTTCTTCTTTAATTCGAGCACGATGTTTGGAACGGGCAAAGTGCACTGATCCTGAAGACCGTTCCTCTTTGAACGACATGCTTCGTAGCGAATCAATATATTCGGAGGCATATATTCCCTATACCGAGTCAGCAATTCCTCTGACGTAATTCGAGGAACACCCTTCGGCTTTGTACAATCCTCTGCATCGCTTCTAGATACTTCATCCCTCGTTTTGTCCACAACTGTGCACGGTACCAAAAGATATTTCTGCGTTTTAACGTCGGTAGAGTCGGTCTGCGATTCTGGATGTTGCTGAAGCGTGCTCGAACACGATTTTGATCTGTCCGTAGGCTCGTGCCTGCGACCAGAAGCGACAGCGTTGGTACGAGGTTTTCGACAATTTGGCTCGAACGAATTCGAACACGACTTAGGTCTGGGTGTTGGCTGACAGCAATAAGCAGGACAAACTCGTCTTCTCGGCTCCCGTTTCGAGGTATTTGGTTTATCGACGTCAAATGAATCGAGGCCGTTTCTACGTTTCACTGCCGGCAAATCGCGCTTAATATCGGTGACGTGCTTTTCTTTCGGTTGCTTCGTGCTTGGACAAGTAGCTGCGTAATTCGATGGCGAACACTGGAATTTTGAATCAGGTTGTTCGAAGCCTTTGATCCGAGGACGATCTTCTTCGTCGATAGTATCGGCCGATCGTTGGATTATCCTAGCAGTCGGTCCTTCCTCGCAAGCCTTAGATTCCATGTAACCGTAATAATCTTCGGCCCGTGGAAAAGCGATCATTCGTGTTTCCGGTCCACGCTCGTCGATCTTCGTTTCGAGAATACCGTGCGAACACGGTCCCGATTTCTCTGGTGGGCAGATAAAACCCACAGCCGTGGGCCGCTCGCTATCTCGAGGGACGCGCGTCTCGAAACACCTTTTCGCTCCAACGTCCCTGTCGTTTTTCAAGCATTTGGTGATTCTAGCTGTCGCCTGTTTCTTAGACGCGGTACAACCGAAGAACGTCACAGGTGCGTCCCGCTCTTCCACGTTACAATGGGTGTCTGCCTCTTCGATCGTTGGGCCGTACGCGACTTTGGAATACGGTTTGTCCGGATGTTTGTCGCCTTTTTCGATGTGTAACGTCGTTATCTTATCCGAGCCATTCGCGGACCGATTTTCCGTGGGAACCAAGACGGCTCTAGCGACCGGTCCCTCTGAACATTCGCGGGATTCCAGGCAAAAGGTCATAGGACGTTTCGCTATTGGACACGATTCGTTAGACGTCGTTGAATCTTCTCGAGGGTAAGACGCGATCCTGGAAGAGAAGTTGGTTTACTCGAAGCGAACGAAGGTGTAGAACAAGTTTCGAGTTTAATTTTCCTTTTGCCAAAGTTGCAACGATATAGGAAATTACGTTACTCGAGTTGGCTTCTCTAAAAATGTATCTATTTTTGAGATAGTTGTTCTTCGCAGACGTTCTAGTAAAGATTATGGTAATCAATTCGTTGGTGGAGAATCGTGGGTGGTAATTAATTACAGCTCATACTACGTTACGTCCTTCCTACCTGGCCGATGGTCCAAATTTTGTCGCTTTCGTCTCGACGAGCAAATTTATCTTCTGGTTGGCTGTACACCGATCCCCGGGAATTTGGACAATATGCGCCACAGGTTGATCACCTTCGAAACGACACTCCAGCAACGTAGATCCCGGTGGATAGCGCGGACAGCAGGTGGGTAGCGTGATTGCTGGATGTTGTTGAACGTCACGACGCTGTAGGAATCGAATTACATACAGCTCGTATCGTCCACTTGTCGTTGCCTCTTTCTTTTTTTCTGCTTGACTTTCGCGAACCATCTTCCACGTTTTTGTCCCAGCCGAGTTACGCTCTCTAAATAGCTCGCGCCAAGCTATTTTCGTACGCGATTTGATAGTTTTCGGCGAATGAACGCGTTGTACGTTTTAGGGAACAAACGAGTTAGAATCTTACGCATAATCGGATTGTTTTGACTCGATTGTTACGACGATATAGTCATATTCGTTCGATTCTCCAACCTTTCACCTTTTTACGACTATAAAAGTAACGAAACCCGTACTGCGCGAGTTGCGCTAAAATTTCACTACGGATTTCGCATCATACGTCCGTTAAGCATCGATGATTTTTTAAAAAATTGATTTACTATAGATTTATCATACCGATTCTTCCGCCTTTATTTGGTGTTGTTGGATTATAGGTAACGCGGATATAATTTCGCTTATGTACTTTCGAAATAGAAAGAGTACATGGTTTGCTTACGTTTCCTCGCTCTTTCCCGTTGTATGATTTGTAATTTTTAGGATTGCATGGGAAATTTAAAAATAAATTACGATTCGCAATCACGCTTACTTCGCAGAGAAAAGATCGGAAAGAAGCTAACGGTTAATAACGTTTGTCATTTGCATGAAATTGCGTTCAATTTATGCAAATAAACGATTATAAGTTCAATAATTATAAATTACCTTATAAAGAATCTTTCGTTCGAAGAAGAACGTAAAAAATGGAATATACGTTGAACGCTGAAATTTAAGTTAATTTAAACATAAAGTAAAGTTCACGCGGAATGGTTTTTTATCTAAATAATTTTTCTTTTTAATTCTTTTCTTTCCTTTTTAATACGGAAAACCTTATAGTGATTGTACTAATCGTGTTTCTTACATTTTGTATTCGAGGAAACTAATTACAAGAAAATACTTAGCGTCGAATATTTATAATTCCCTTAGCACCTATTGTTCGACCATCTAATCGTTCAAGTAAACAGCTAGATATTAAGATTCGTAGGGTTATCTGTGAAACTCGAAGCGAAAGGTTAAAAATCGATCTAGACTCTTACTACCGTAACTCAAAATTCATCGTTACACGAACGAGATTGATTTTTGTTTTTGCACGAGTGAATTTCTTACCTCGGGAGAAACAGTTTGTAGTTGTTTTTCGATTTCGCTGCAAACGCCTACCAACCGAGAGTCGTCGGTGTTCTTGCTAAAAGGGCAGAGTTCGATATTAAAAAACATGTATTTAGTTTAAAGCATCGTGCGATTAACATCGCGTTGGCAAATAATTCGTTCGCGTAGATGCAAAGGGGTCGTGTAATGAAAAATAATTTTTAAACGACGAAGAAGCATCTCTTATCGTTGTTATCACGATAGTGTTCGAAGGTACTGTCTTGCTGTTGACAAAAATTCACCGCTGCTTTAGAAACGTAAGTTTCTAAATCCTCTTTGTACGAAATAAATGTCTATGTCTATCTTTTAAATTTACCCCTCTGTACATTAACACGCAACTAAGAATCGGTCTGTGTATACAACGGCGGGCCGATGGCTCGATTCCAGAGCATCGATTTGCATTGCTTGCGAATTTCGCATTGCTCGTTGAACTAGTCAGCAGGATTGGCCGTTCATTGATTCAAATCCGAAATAAGCACGCTGGCGAATGTCCAGCCAGCGTATGCAAATCTCTCGGCCACTCCCCTATAAAAAGAAACTTGACGTTATGGTACAGCTGCACCCTTCTACCGCGCATCGTTCTCTCCTTCGTAATTCGAGCCCGTTGCACTTTTCTTTTTGTCAAATTGTATTTTTCGAGTGAACGCGCATTCGGATTCGTTAGAAGCGATCTAATCGCGTTCAAATACTATTCTAAATAAACGTCGCGCGTTGAACGAGTTACATACACGTGTACACGTGTCGCTATTAGTACAAAGAAATATGTATTTACGATATACGCGTACATAGGTAATTTGAATTTCCTAGAATGTTTTGTTATGCGTAATTTAAAAAAGAAAAACGTTTACGTTTTATAACAGTCTGTTAGAGTTATTAAGAAAATATTAATAATATTATTCCGTATAAGATGTAACAGAAGTAAAATGTCTTGCATTTCTTAATTACGTTCAGTTTTACTTATATTCTGTAATGTATCGGGGATATCAAATCCATCGAAGAGAGTCCATTCCAAATTGAAGAAAACGGAAATAGAAGATTGCATAAACCACGAATAGTGCGTTAACTTTCAGCGAGCGAAGTCGGTACGATCCATTTCTTTTTTCATTGTTTCTTTACCCGCGTTACATCTGACCGGTTATAGCGATTGATACGTTGGAAATTTTCTATATCACTTTCACGGATTTAGAACGGAATACCAATGAATAAGCATTCATTTAGTTAGATAAACTTTACGTTTTATCTCTTACGATCAAGGTGAAAGTGATTCTATCTAACAGAATTAAAATAAACGTTATTTCGTTTAAAACGATCATTTGCGAAAATTTACGCAAACTGACTACGATTATGTATTTGGATGCTTACGTTTGAAGAATATTACTTTCTGGCACGCGCATATTCTTTGCAGCAGCCGCCATAATTTTCTTGATTATGTATCCTCTTTATTGGTACGTCAATGAGACTCGAGTGCATACCTCGTACGCTCATAAAAAACACGCATAATTTAAGAATTTTCAATAAAAATGTATGTTTTCACAAAAATTTTAAAGCTTCCACATGTTTCTACCGCCTGAAGCCTGATGCGTAGTAATTCTTTCTTCTGTTTCCGATTCTGCTATTCGTAGCGATTGAAAAATCGAGGATATATTCAAACGGAACACACTGTCTCCTAGTCGGTCATAGTAAAATAATACATATGTATTTCGAGAAGTAGTAATTTCTTACACTGTAAAACGCGTGACGTCTGTCTTTATATTTTCTCGTTAATTCTTATAATGCAGGATAATCCAAACATCTATTCGTTCGTGTTCGATTTTAAGAAATTTTGTTCCATATTACAACTATTTAAACGACATTTGTAATTAACGGCGTGTTAACGTTTCACAACATATGTATTTGTACACCTTCCACTTGTACATCTTGAATAAGTATAAACGCGTTGTAATAGAGTTTGAAGATAAATAAAGGTTTATTACAGATGTAAAATGTACAACGTGACTCCCGGTGTGCTTATGCAAATAATATAAATCATCGAGCCTTCACTGGTGGCGGTGTTCCCTTTCCAAGCTGGATAAAACGAGGATTGTAAAACGTTGGTGCGACATGCAGCTACATACAAATTTAATCTAATTGAAAATATATGTCGTTTTATCGGATCGTAATTCCTTATCGGGTCTGCCGCAGTCGTGAAAAGATCCTGCAGCGTCCTGGTACCATAAATACCATGGCATACCGCGGTAAAATTAAACACGAGTATTCTTGTTCCAGTTACTAGTATTCGAATATGACCATAGTATTGGAAAACTTACGAAATTTAGACTACGATTCGATACTGTATCTTACAGCCTTAAAGAGAGAGAGAGAGAGAGAGAGAGAGAGGGTTGTACTAATTACTTCCGAAAATCACCCGCTGGATCAAGAAAACAAAACGGCTAATAATACATCTTGTCCACACATCCATTTATGATTACAAACGTGAATCGTTATCGATTGTCTCTCGAGGATCGCGAAGAAGAAACCAGGTAAATGACCAGACGGAATATCAGCTGGTAGATACGTGTATCGAGGCTACATGCGAGTGCCTATTCAAACAGCAGGACGGGACACTACCTATAGCTATGCGGTTTCGTTACGGTCGAACGGTGGAACGAGTTGAAAACTAACGAACCTTTCTTCCCATGCACCGAACTAGCCCGTAATACCTCGACAGAGTTTCTAGGGTCGATCTGGCGTTGTTTTCAGCTCTGAATCTGACTTATCGCGCAACGTTCGCAGGTACGATGAATCACGATTTTCCGACAATCTACGTGTCTATCCATCACTGCTGATCGTTTGAATCGATTAGATGTAATTCGAAAATCAATATCAAGCGATTGTGGAAAGATGAATCGGCTGCGGTAACTAATGTATGATCAATTTTGCTGGGTTTTTATAATCTACTATTAAATGAAATTTGGATTGTGAGGTGGAGTGCTAAATATCGACGAGATCAAGTTTAACGCTAGTCGCCAGAAATAATAATTCGTTCTTTACAAATACACGTACGTTTACCATTCGAGGACATTTGGTTGCTGTTTTTGAGACATTTTGAATGAGTAACGTTACGTTTGTAGCTCAAATATAGATATGCGGTAACACAATTTTTATAAATTTTATTTGCAAGTATTCTATTTGCAAGTATTCTTTGTAGTATTACGAACTAATTTTACATTATCGTATGTAATTTACGATTTAAAAGCATATTATTTGGAAATATTATATTATAGATACGGGCGTTGCCGCGAAGTAAAATAATTACGAATTTAAACAAGATAATTATTTTACTTCAATGATGCTTCGTACAAACATCTATGGACAATTAAACATCATTTCTTCGTTTTTTTATGAAATAAAAAAATTACCACATGCAGCGGGATTTGAACTCGGGATACTCGCCCTACCTACGGTCGAAGAGGTCCAACGGTATTTTTATACAAATTTAAGACAAATAAGCTGTTTTTTCAATTTTGAAAAGCTTTTTAACAACTTGCAAAAAATCTGTCAGGAGTGGGATTCGAACCCACGCCTCCAGAGGAGACCAGAAGGCACGTGGAGATCAGTTAGTAACTGATAAGGTGAACACCTTGAGTCTGGCGCCTTAGACCGCTCGGCCATCCTGACATGTGGTAACATCTTTTCATAAAATACGAAACGCTCTTCTCGAATTATGTTTTGTAGTTATTTTATGACGCTTTAGTGCTACGATTGTCTCTTTTTAACGGAATATACATAAATAAGGTAATTCTGTTCCTAGGTATATAAAACATTGGTAAATTCAGCTTTGTAACGAGATATACTATTATTTACATTGTTATTTTCATTTTTAGAATCTTTTGTTAGAATCTTTGAAAATTTAACTTTTAACAATTAAATTTCCTCGGCATCGGTGAACAATCATCAATGAAACTTTAACAGGCATGAGACGCAAAACGAATCGCATACGATAGTAGTAGTAGCGCATTGATACAGGATCTCTCGTAGCTTCAACGAGACACCGATAAATTAGTTTCGTATTATCCCCCTGTCCTTGGTATCGCCTTACGACCCCCGGCCGGTAGGTCCTTCCCATCATCGACTACCGTATCTTTTCCCCACGAACTGTCTCGTCGATAAAAACAGCGTGAGCCAACCGACGCGACGCATAAGAAAAAAGAAGAAAAACAAGCGGCGCGACAAAACAGAAAGAGACACGCGGATCTACATGGAGCGGCGTCCTTTTTTTTTTATACGCACGACCACCGTTGTCCCTTAATCCGTTGACGACGGCGCGGCGCGGGCGTTGTTTAATCCGCTCGTAAATCTGGCGCTTATTTTCCGCGAGCGAGCAGCGAACGAAGGGAACGATAGGGGTTAGAATTAAGACAGCGCGAAGTTCATTGCCAACGTTAATAGAATAACGTAATGGAATGCGCGGTGCACTTTGTGTCTTATACGGGTCCTGATAATTACGCGATCCCCGATGTCGTTCACCCCGACGCGGCGCGGCGCGGTGTGGCGTGGCATCGTCGGCTTTTCCATCGTGTTCAACGTCGGCCTTAATTAATCAGCCGAGAAGCAGAGTCTGTCGATGCCGATGGTGAACGGGCTTTGGATCACCTAATAACGATACCGATTCGATGGCATAACGAAATAAAGGGAGTCTTAAAGATACAAATACGCGTCAATGATATAACTTGGAGATTACAAAGCAAAGAGTTATAGTTAATTTAATTACAAATCGAAAGTCGTTTCTTTTAGTACGTCAGCGTTCGCAATCGATAGTATGATAATCGAAATCGCCCTACATCCCAGAGAGGAAGACTCGAAGAAACACGTCCGAGGTAATGATTAATGTCGCGAAAAGTAATTGCTATCCTGGACAAGCTTAGCCCAGCGATTTATCTTTCGGTCGAATCAATAATACTCGTTCCTTCGTCTCTATCACTGCGAGAGGAAATAAGTTTTGATTTACAACGCAGACACGGTCGAGATCAGGCGGATCGCGTTAAGCTCGCTACTAATTACAGCTTATTGTATCCAAGCACGATGGTTTCGCGGTTTCGCGTCGCGGCTAGCCGCGCGAATCGACCACGATCGATGCCGGAATCGTTAATTGGGATCGTCGAGGGCGGCTCTCGCTTCTTCTTCTCTCAGCTGCTACCGCTAATGACTCGTGGAATTTAGTTACTCGTGCTAAGACACGTGTTTTTACGCGTCTTGCCATTGTTGTTTTTTTTCAGGCTGATGGCGTTATTTCGCGGTGTGCGGTATTAAATTTTCTCAGGACGACCAATAGGAGCGGGTAATTAAACGCGAAATGTCTCGCGCAGCTTCTTGGTGATCCAGATTTGTTTTTAATTGCGGCAAGTTGACGGTGTCTGTAGATAATATAAACTTCGAGAGTAATATTTGTGTAGGTTTTAAATTAACACGTTCGCTGCACATCGGATTGTCCTTACTTACGATCGTCTGCTATACTGCTGCCCTTTTGGACTTGTTGTTACTTCCGATCAAAAACGTACACCATAAACGTACGTTAACTCTTTCGTTATTATAATAGCTGTTGGTAAATTTATCGCTGCGCATTAGGTTACGTTCTTTTCATCGATCATGCCGATAAGACGCGAGGTTTTGTTAAAGAAATCATATATTAAATTAACACGGTGTGTTCTTCCTCGTTCTTCCGTTAAAATTCATTTTCACTCGTAGCTTCCTCAAATTAAGTATTTCGATTGCTCGTGCCACTTTTTCATACGAACATATTATACGCGTGTGGTCTTGAATGGTGGGCGTCATGTGGGATCAGAGCGATGCGATTAAGCAAGGTTGCGAGCTATATTGAAACCTCGCGTCTCGTAATCATGGAAATTGAAAGAGGAAATTGTTCAGTTCCTTGGAAGAGTGGGTTGCAGTTGTTTCGATGATAGTGATTTTGGCTAATTTGTCTTCGATGGTCTTTGGCCTTGGCACAAAGCGTTCGAGATTCGATTAAATGAACTAACGACAGATTTCGTACTTTGCATTTCACGATTGCAGGTCTTAAACGACGCAGGATGGAAATTTATTCCGATTTATCGATTTATTCGAATTATAATCTTTGATCGTCGCGCTACGTTTGACAGATTTAATAAAACAACGATACGTTTTCTCTTAAATTCGTTGTGCTAAATTTGTTGCGAATGAGAAAAGTGTCATTATTGATAAACGTGACAAAATCTAAAGAAACGTCGAGCGAAATATCGAAAAAGGAACGGGATCGGAGGAAGCTCGGAATGGATGGATGAATCAAGTAACAGCGAAAAACGGCCGAGCCGAGACAAACTCCATCATGCGCAAGGGCTGCCAGCGAGCGAAGAAAAAGAAGGACAAGAAGAAACATCGACGTCGTGGAACGCGAAAGAAAACGGGGCGTCGAGGGGCGCAGAAAGGACGGAAGACGCGGTGCAGAGGGGTCGTAGCGTGTGTCGAATGAAAAAGAATCTCGTGACGCACGTTTTCCTCGCAAACAAGCAGGATCCAGCAGCGTAACGCAGCACCGTGGCTTTCCTCGTGCACGCGGCGCGGCGATCCATCACGCGTGCGCGTTACGCGCCTCGTACGCATCGTTTGCAAGCGACGAACGCGACCCACGGCGCCGTCCATGGCGATCCTTATCGACCAAGATCCGCGCGGAATCGATCGCTGTTCTTTGTACGAATGTAGAGATACACTCGATGGATGGAAAATTCGAAGCGCGATCGCCCGATCGATCAACGTTCCACGTTGGAATTGGAACGGAATAAGGCGTCGATTGAACGCAATTTCAGCGCGCCTTCTCCGCCATTACCCGACTGTTTGAGAAATCGAGGAAGAATCGTCGATAACGAATTTCACCGAAGATATTAACGCTCGTACACTCGTCTAGAATATATGTTATATACACGAGCGATCATTACTAGACCGTTTTATAAGGCGTAAAAAAGCATTCTAGATATCTTGGATATTCTTCCGAAAAACATCGGTGACCGATTGGCTTGAAATTTAAAAGAGGTGGTAGACCCGAAACGTAGACTTTTAGCTTTGGATATTTATTGGTTTCCGAGATAGTAGTACAAATCTTTCGATACTATACATTGAATGCTACCTATTTAGACGTTGCTGATACAACCGTCTTTGTTGTATTAGTCGTTGTTCTATAAATACATCCCGAGGCTCCTGTCGCTATTATGTCATCGGCAACGGTTGTGTTAGTAACGTCTGTACAGGCACCGTTGCACGCACGTATAGTACCGAAAGATTTTTATTAATATCTCGAAAAGGAATAAATGCCCGGAACTAGAATTTTATATTCGAGGTCTACTCCCTTTAAATTTCAAGTAAATTGGCCACCTTTTGCAAGTGCAACCGACATTTTATATCTAATGTCTGCTTACGATTCAATACATGTCCTAGATGCAACAAATTTGCCTATGCACCCACGTAATGCATATCTAAGAATTTTGATTTGAATTCTTTTAATATTCGGATTGATTCGTTCTATAAGCACGCTGCCTGCGATGTTCTATCTACATGGATCGCATGCATATCCCGTAAATAAGTCAGTTTTCAAAATTTTAGACGAAATTTAATATGTAATTAATCACGGAGCGTGTACGAAATCTCAGTCTCGTAAAAAGTTAAGAAAGAAAATTGATTCTTGGGTTTAAAGCTACCCGTCGATTGCCATACAAAGCTAAGAGGGTCAGGATGACGCACGAGGATCGCGCTCTGATATAATTGAAATTTAAGCGACACCCTCTGCTTCCTCGGACTGCACCCACTGGGAACATAGAAGTATGTATAAATAACACCTGTTGGCGAGAAACACGCGAAGGATGACACCTACTGTTCCTGATGAAATTTAAATCGCGGTTGCAACATTCGTCGATTGGACGAGTTTGCGTCAAGAATCGAACGTTGATGCTGAATCGATGCCTTGGATCGGGGACAATGGAATTGATAATAATTGAGCGGTTGTTCCGATAACCCAATCGAAGACTACTCGAGCAAGCTAAGTCGTATGTTGCCTTGACGAAATTGAAATTTAAATCATAGCTGCTCGTATCGATGCACGGCACCTACGGTCTGTGATGAAACTTAGAGTTGCAAAATTTGTCGGTTTAACGATACCCGTCGCTCGGATAAAGAGCAGTCGTCGACCGTCGGAATTAAAATTTCAACCGTTCGCGCAATTCCAGCTGTCTCGGATTTAATTTACGTAATAATACTATAATATGTGTATAATGATAACGATAACCAATCACATATTATGTATAGTGTACTTAGGTATATAATTAAAGGTTGATAATCCTAGTGTCGATACACAAATTTACTACATCCTTCAGCGAAATATAGTATCATGTAGTATTTTATGGAGAAAGTCGCCGTAAAGTTTACGGTTGCCATAGAAATTGTCCGGCGAAAACGATCGGCCTGGTTGAACGTACAATTTTGCAGAAGCGGCTTGGTTTCACCAAACTATTTATGAATTTTTCCTGTTCGCAGAATTACGCTGTTAAATTATCTTTTTTCGCTCACAGGATGGAAATCGTCGTGATAGTAAATCGACGGCGTTTGCTCCAGTTTCGAAAGAGTTCCTGCAGAGCAGGAAACGATTATCGATTGCGATCTTAGGTCCGGTCTGAGTCAGCGATGCTTTGAACGTTGGTAATAGACATGAAAAATTGCTTCGAATATCATCGATGATAACATTTAAATTTCACATTCAATATTTAATCATTGGTACTATTGGATCGTGAGTAACCTCTACAACGATTTCGATTAAGGTAATTTTGATTTGTATTCCTTATTTTACGTGATCAAGTCGCCGTCAACCGCGTACGATATAAAAATCAAATTAAAACTACATCGATTCGGAATAATACCATGTTACATCTATTGGACGACGTTCTTTTAAAAAATTATTCGATCTTGAACCAATATCTAAAGACAGAGGGAAAAATCGTATATTCCTAAGTCAATGTAAATACATGGAAATAAGAAGATAAACGTTTTCTGTGAAAAGTAAAATTATTCCTTATTTCAAACGAACGCTACATACATACCTAACAATTTTACATCATTTTGAATTCCTCTGTAACTCGTCGAAGCTGTTAATTCGCTGGAAATCACTAACGCAAGTCTATCAGGATAAAATCATTCGCGTGGACAGTCTTCTATTTTCAGAAAGGTATTTCCTGTTTTTAAAAATACCTACTATGATACAGTGGATAGGATGGTACTTTTTCGATACACCGAAGTACTTAATCGTGCTTATCAGCTAGAACGATCAAAGTTCTATAGCGCCGTTTAAGTAAACCAAGAGCGAGAAAGTGATCAAAGGCGAAGTTTAATGTATAATTTTATTTTATTTAACGCGAATTTCATTGGACTTTAAGCGTAAATATTGGAATTTTTTTGGAAGTAACTGTTCGTTTAGAGACGTAGAAAAGAAAGTACGAGCTGGACGAGCCTTCGAACAGTGACCATTGAACAGTAATTGACACACGGTATCAACGGCTGGAACGTGACGCGAATTTCATTCTTATAAATCGCAAACGGAATTAGATTCTTGCATTATACGACGGTACGAAGAAAGGTACCGACTCAACCTCTCCTAAATAGAAGCTTGATCGAGTGTAATGGGTTCGAATAACAATGAAATCAAGTTCGATGTAACTTGAAAATCTGAATCCATTTAGCGGCTACATGTTATTTCGTTGAATAAACATCGATTCGAACGTTTGCAATTACCAAATGTGAAATTGGAAACACAAAAAGATACATACCTACGTATTTGTCATTTTGGTTTTTTATTTTTGCAGCATCATCGGACTTTTCTCTGGTAAAATTTTGGTCTTAAATTAATCGTATTACCTTAAAGCAGATCATAAAAATTAAAATGATAAATAAGAGAATTTCATCTATTCGAAACGATTTAATACTTTACGTGTATGTACACACCGATATGTATGCGCAGTTAATTAATCCTTCTGTCATGTTCTACACCTACGTTTTAATAACAACAAAATATTTTAAAGAATTTTAAGATTTAATTAATCGCATTAATCATTTTGTATCAGCACACAGTTTAACGTTTCATAATGAATTACCATTAACGCGAGCATACAACCGATGTAACAGATAATTGCACGCGAAACGTATGATATACGTACGATATACGAGTACTTCTCGATGGAATCGACTCTACTCCGATTGTACATAAAAATATTCGTGCTATCAGCGAAAGGTTAATTATAAAAGTTTGCCCTCCCTCGCTAGATCTCGCGCGGTCACTTTCAATCCGCCATCGAGCGGCCCAGCATTCGGTTATCTTATCTACTGTACCTTTTAAAATTCCCACATCTCTAATTAGTACCGCGAAAGAATCTCGCTAATCGTATACCCGAAGATTCTTTCCATATTGGCTATGCCAAACGGTTGAACAGAATTGGTGCAATTCATTTATACAATATCGTAAATAACATCGTAATTAACACCAGAATATAATATATAAAGAAAGAATGCCGTGAATGCCATTCTGGACACGGTTGATCCTATCCCATGCCTATCCTTACGCTCGAACCTACGAGCACGACGCGCGGCGCGGCGCGGCGCGGCAACGAGTTGTCTCTGGTGTTTGCTCGGTACGGCCGCCAGAGGCGCTGCATGTTACGTTCGGTTTCGCTAGAAGCTCGAACAGATAGTCGTGAAGCCGTCTGCCGTGTGGACGATCGTGCGACGTTGCTCCGCTCGCGTTCATACGTTTCGTTCGTCGTAAACCGTTGTCGATTTTGTGTGTCGCTCGGAAAACAGTGGTTGATGCGCCTGTCCTTGAGAAGAGAAACGAGAGATGCCGCCGTGCTCATCTCGACAGTTGGCGCGCATTCCTCGAACGCGATGACGGCCACGCCGGACCACGAGCGAACCCGATCTGGAAGTCGTGACTCAGATCCTTTTACTTTTCTTCGTATATACCTCGTGCCCGGTCGACCACTTCGAGTCCTTTCTATGCAGGCAATCGCGTTCGACATTCCCGTGCACAGAACAAAACGCAGTTCTCATTTGGGGTCTGTTCTTTTATCGCGCGATTCATTTTGAAACGCACGGTGAGTCTCTCGGTGGTCGTACATATACGTGTCAACCGATGGTATTCCGTACATTCTCGGAACCGTTTCGCCCGTCTCTGACAATGTACGTCTTATACATCGCGTTGTGCGAACTGTCGTGACGTGCTGGTCGTACATAGGATACTCGTGTACCGTTGTCGATTATCGTCGATCGAGAGAGAACGAATGCGCGAAGGAAACGCTACACCGGCGATTAAAAGGTGCCAACAGAGAAGCGTGTCGCAAATATCTGTCCGTAATCTTCAAATTTGTGAATCGACCGTGTAATGATCGGTTGTATGTCAGAGATTCCACGAGTCGGGCGCCGAAGGACAAGAGTCACCGGCGACGATAATCGAGCGAAAACATTGGTCGATAGTAAAAACACTGTTCACAGTTCAACGCTTGGCATTATCTCTGTCCGTGTACGCAACGAGGGTGACCGCTGTATTTGTTTTTCTCGATACACGTGCTCCTGCGAGCGGCGCGATACGTCGCTCCATCTATATTTAGTGGCATCGTTCGGAGCGAGAAATTCGTGAGCCCTCGATCGCAGTACGCGTTTTCTCGGTCCTTCGAAATCTCTCTCTCCCTCTCTCTCTCTCCCTCCCTTACCACTCTCCTCCCTCCCACCCACTCTCTCTCTCTCTCTCCTTCTCTTTCTAACGAGTAGGGTGTGAAGACGGAAACATAAGGTGAATTTCAGTGAACTCCCTCGGACCAATGCCGCGATGGTGAGAAACGTATGGTGTATTCGCGTAAACTTTTCTCGCGGAACTGGTGGAATGGTGAACGTGTGACGTCTTTAACGATTCGATGCGACTTAAAGGCGCGCCCTAATTACGTAACTTTTGTTTCGAACCGATCGACGGATCTATTCGTACGACTAATATGAATCGATTTTACGGAACGGTCGTCGAGTTACAGTAAATCAAAGCGAAGGGAAGAAACTGTGAATCGTGACATGTGAACTAGTCGCATCCGGAGACATGTTGAACGCAGAGAACACCGAGGGTTCGCCGAAACGAAGGTCGACCTTCTACGTATCTTTGGATACCGATGCCCGACAACCCTCGAAGATTCCAAAAACGATCACCACCGAGTCCGACAAATTCGTCAGCAACACCTTTCCCATAAGTAACTCGAAAACGGTGCCAAACGTCATTTTAACCCGTACTTTGAGCAACAAGGATGATTCCTTGTCACATTCAAAACGTACGGAGGAGTCATTCCCCGAGTCCAGAGGTAAAGTGCAGTCATTGACGAAGATATTTGAGACCCCAAAGGGAGAGCAAGTGACAAATAGCTCCGAACAGAGAAAGAAGGTGGAAAGGACCAGGTCGTTCAAAACCATCGAGAGATTTCACAGTCGATTCACCGGTCGAAAAGATACGAACAGAAAGGACAGCCGTTTAAATAATACCATAGCGTGCTTCGAAGTGGAAGACGAGGACTCGAGGAAGAAACCGGATGCGGATAAGCGGACGAACTCGAAGAATCAGGATTCGAAGTCGAACGGTGCTGGTAAAATTAGTACGGAGACGAGAACCAAGCAGAATGGCAGTACGACGTTCACCAATTTGTTGATACGTAGAACACACAGCACGAAATTAGCCAGGAGTACGAGTACGTTGGTGAAGGCGACTGGCAGGCACGCATCGGTAGACAATCCGTGTAGCGTCGTGACGCCAGCCAGGGGAGAGAATCACCGGTCGAACACCGAGAAATCGAAGGAAGACGAGGCGCCGGACGATTCTGTCGCGGATAACGACGAGGGTACCGAGTCGTCCGTGTTCGAGGACGCCGACGCGGACGCTGGGATACATTCAGGTAGGCGTGCGCGCGTTGTGTACTTTGTAATCACGATGGGGAGCGTGGCTCGACGTGACGCCGATGGAGAACGAAATTTTTTTTCGATGACGAGATTCCATAGTATAGTCGTTCTTTAGGTTCGACGAGAAAGAACGATGACATAGTTAGGTTTAGGTTAGGTGCGTTTAATGCGCGCGCTTCGTAACCGTTTGCTCACGGTTTCAGTTCTTCGAAAGTTGCGTTTCAACGATCGAAATCCTCGGATACGCTTCGAATATACGTTTGAATTTATTTCGATCGTTTCATGGCCCATATGAAGAAAAATCGCGCGGAACAGTCAAGCGAAATCGACCAAAGAATCGTTAGATACTCGTACGAATTTACTGGCCGAGCGTGTAACCAGCGTTAATTATTCGCCTCCACACGCGAATGAGAACCAATTTATGCCGAATTTATGGCGAACGTTGCTAAAAAAGAAAAATATACTCTTTACAAATATCTTAATAAATTTGAGTATCGATCCGTTTGCCATTCGGTCGAGCGAGCGAGTTGTAGAATTTGAGGAAATTTTGATTACTAGTTTCTTTTGGAACTGTGAAAGTTGTTATTTGTTGTTGAACTTATGATCAGTTAATGGAATCGTTTGTCTAAAAGTATCGTAAAGATGCTATTTTCGATAGAATCTTTGTCAGTTGAATCGTGCACCGAGCTTTTTTTAAAAATGGGTTACATATTTACTGCGATTCGCCTGACATACGTGAAATATAGCAAAGTATTTTATCCAGTTCTTATAATTTGTATACAAGGTTCAGCGATATTTCTCTGAAATACGGATATGACAAATTTTCCGGAAAGATATTCATGGTTTATGAATATACGCAATTTAAGCTACTGGAAATCCTCGGCGTTTCTGGAATCGGTCAAAATTTGTGTGCCTCGTCGAATTCGCTGATCCCAGAGTTAACGAAAAGCTTTCCACGACTATCTAAATGTATATAGATTCAGAAGAGAAGGTTGGACGAAATCGTGGTTGAGCGACGTCGAACAAAAGGGCTACAGGGTACGGGGGATGCTCTCGTAAATCAAGTCGAGGAAGCGATTGAAATTCGCGATTCCAGCGACGAATTCGCGAGTCCCGTTAGTTGGCCAGAAATTGCTCGGTGAGCGAACGCGAGCTTTTTTATTTCGCGTTCGCCCGCCGAGAGGATTACCTTAATTAAGGGCGAACGATCACGAACCGCGATCCAAGCCCTGTCGCTTATTTTTTCAAAGAAAATCGCGTCATTTTAGCTACGTAGTTACTACGCCAGCCAATGCTTTACCATCTCTATTTTCGGTCGATGAAACGTAGCTATAGTAGTATCTATAACTAGTAGGTAAAATAGCTGTAAAATATTTCGCGTACATCGAAGCAACGTCGAATTTAAATAGAAGTCGAATTTGACTGTAGCTTAAATTTGCTCAGATTCGTTTTACGTAGATTCGGTTTAAGTGGTATTTTCAAAGGGTTCGTATTTGCCGGGAACTTACGATACGAATACGAAGCAAGACCTACTTATGCGGTAGCCTGTTTCAGCCACCTGCCTTTCAAGCCAGGTCAAAAGAGCCAGAGAGTTATTTGGGTGGTTGGTAGGTTGGCTGAAGGAATAAGGTTGACACGATTGGGCTTCTCTTTGTTAGATTTCCTCACGACGACCTTCCAAATTGAACTCGTTGCTCGTATCTTCGATAACAGGCGACAAGTTGAGTAGCGAGACTAGGAAGCATTCGAATATTTAGTTGTGCCTATTTTTTTAATACATCAAACAGCGAAAGCAATAAAAATTATCGCGATGATACGATATCTGGATACTGTATAGAATTTAAAATGTTCAATAAAATTTGCAACGTTACATTTTTTCAGACTTTCTTACGATTTACCGTAAATGCTTGTAAACATTTTTTTACGAAATAGAAAGTATGGAAGTTACGACGATATGGAATGAACGAATATATCTATCGAATATTCTGTCTAAAACAAATTCTTATGATAAAAGAGAGAATGCGTGGAGCACGAAGCAAAGAAATCAATAAGGCAAGACTGTAAGGAAAATCGTTGATATCTTAGATGCATATCTATCCGAATACTCGCAACAAACATCAGCGTGAATCAGTATTTACGATTTATGATGCAATAGCCCGATATCTGATTCGATGTGATAACTGGTTAATCGGAAATACGTTTTACGCGTTAGGTGTGTGTCTTAAAACGCGCCAATAAGAAGCGAAAGCGATTTAACGTAAAAAAAACTGTTATTTAAATCTCTGCGTGCAACAAACTTTGCTCAAAATGAAATCTCAATATCATTACTTTTATGAACTAGATATAATCGCATTTTGGACGACCGAGATTTCAGATTAAAGTAACTCGAAATGAAAACTCGGTGATTATCATCGGATTTGAAAAATATACCAGTGTTTGAAAGATTCGAGGCTACATGATAAAATTAAGCTTTCTATAAAAACAATTATGTATAAATATCTGGACTGAAAAGAATTCAGAATTTGATTAAAGTCTTTCTTCGTTATACGGTTTATCTTCGCAAGAAAATGTTCGACAAGCTAACGTTGTATTTTCTCTCTCGGCAAACGCTTTCCACGTATCTCCGATAGTCGGAGTAGATATCTCTGTACGTAAAAACATCCACGAAACATATACGTACTCGGACTGTACATATTTGCATTGGAACAAATTCCTTTGTAGCATATTCCAACGTAATTCTATGCATCGCGAGAACTCGATCGTTAGGCACAGGACAAATACGGATCCTCTGTAAAAAGCGACATAAGGTCGCCACTCGATATCGTCCGATACTGTTTTTTCGGGCCATATTGCGCCAGTATCGCGGCAGATAAGTTATGCTCGATTGTAATAGAGTCGTTTATCTGTCCTGATTCTCGTCACCTCTCTCTCTCTCTCTCCCTCTCCCTCCCTCTCCCTTTCTGTCTCTTGATCTCCTTTGTAACGCGTCGTCGTGCGAATTCGATTTTTCACGCTTCGTTTTCACGTTTCCATGAAACGCGGAACCCCCTCCGGCACCCGGAACTGCACTCTGCAAACGAGTGTTTAATGGATCGACCTCGATGTCTCGCATTCTCTCTCATTTCGTATCTTGCTCCCCTTTCACTGTGAAAAATCGCGATGACATCACGGTTCGTAGCTTCATCACGAGTCACGGCATTACAAAAATCGTTGCTTTTTCCGTTCTGATTTCTATTCGGCCTTTTTTCCTTCCCTCATCCACGATTTTTTTTCTTGGCTTTCTTCTGCATTTTTTCCTTCTTTTTTTTTCTTTTTTCAATTTCTGACTGATCGTCCACGAACAATGACGATGTCGAGGATGGATCACGATGAACGAGGATAGGTCCACGTCATTGGTGTGCTCGTCGCGATGATTCGACGTACGTACCTATACGTGCTGTTTGAAAGAGGATATAAGTACCGTTCGTATGAATATTTCAGGGACCTCGACGTCGTTCGTGTTTCACCTTTTATTCCGAGGCTTAATTATTCTTCGTTGCAGAAAGGATCGGTGGATTTCTAGGGAACGCCGAGCACGACATAAGCGAGGTTATTTTATAATAGAGAACGTATTAGGTTCTATAAATTTGAGTTGTTGGTGCGATTAATAGTTCACGCACATAACGAAAGGTTTAACGTTAATTCGATCGAAGACTTTGAGTTGCTTGACGAGTATCGATTATCGTGTATGTACCTGTACGTATGTATTATTTTACTTGTTTTGTTCAAATATACTGCTCGATTAATAATACGATACTAATAAAGAATTAATAACGATATACGTATAGTCAAATTTTTATTAAACAAAGGATAAACGATTTTATAGCGTTTGAACGAGTCATTCACAGTGATTAAAAAACTACCTACGTATCTTTCAATTTGTATCGAGTTACACATTCGCACACGTCTGAATACGCTCGTTCTCGTAAAACGAAAGAGTTGAAAGGGAAAAGTAATAACGGGATCAAGCAAGTAACGAGGCTACGTTTACTACTGAAAGCTGCTAAACCCAATTCAGCCGAATAGGATGGCATTCGGTGCGATCAGACTTACTACATTGATAACGAGCTGCGCGACGTTATAGCGGCAATAACGCGAAATGACATCAGAATCCCGTTTCTTTGTTAGTAATTGTGCTCTAATCGCGAATGCTCGATGCAGAGTGGATGGAACGTATGCACTCGAGAGAGTAAGTGAAACGAATTTCAGGCCGAGCGGTCGAATCTAGGTCTCGTTATGAAATGATTTCGAAACGGCCGTGCTTGTTACTTAATTGTGGCCGATCGTGCTTAACGTGCTCCAAGTTACACACCACAATGTTTGAAAATAAAGCGGGAATGTGAGTCACCGTGCATGATTTTCACCAATGCTGAATGTTCACCGTGGATTCGATTCGATTCGTTTCGTTTCGTTTCGTTTCGTTGGTAGCTTGTCGCGAAATATCGACCGTTGTTTCTCGTATTTTGCAGTCGATTCTATACGCGAAAGAAACGATATGGTGGAGTAGCTTCGATGATTATGATAATAAAGGAAACGAAGACTTTCTATTCGTCGATGAGTAGAGTCAATAAGTACATGGACCTGTATATTATTTTTTATAATTTTTTTCATAATTGGGGGACCCAAAATAGAAAATTCATGTCGTACAATAGCAAAGCAATTTCCAGCGCGTCTGGTAAATCATACGCGTTCGTGTGTCGCAACTTACACTCTCCACTTGCGTTTTTACCCATTAGTAAGGAAACTGTACAGTCATTGGGAACGAAGCAAAACGATTCCTCGAAGGCAACCCTATCTAAAAAGCCAAGATTTCCAGCTATCGCTCGATAGGATTTGTTTATCGTTTCCATGATAATCTTATTTGCAAACGTAACCGTGATAGCGCGACCTATCGATCCTTCGTGCTCCTCCAGATAGAATAGATCGAATCCGCGAGCAGGAAATGGTGTCCTTCCGC